ACCAGGACACAAGGGACACCCCCGGCATCGCCCCCTCACCCCACAGGCCCCACGGCACGTGGCCGGGCGCCTGGACCCCGGGGCTCCCTGGGGTCAATTCCTGCTGCCCCCCGACCCTCCAGGACCCGGCCCCGCTGCCCGGAACCCACTGGGGGGCCCGGGAGGCTCTGAGGATGGGGAACGAGTGCTGGTGACAGGGCTCCACGCCTGCGGGGACCTCAGCCCGGCCCTGCTGCGCCACTTCGCCCGCAGCGCCGCCGTGGCTGCCGTGGCCTCGGTGGGCTGCTGCTACATGAAGCTGTCGACCGCCCCGCAGCCCCCCGGCTGCCCCTTGGGCTACCCCTTGAGCGCCTCGGTGGCTGCGTTGCCGGGCCACCGGCTGTCGTACCGGGCGCGGGAGGCCGCGTGCCACGCGGTGGAGGAGTACGAGGGGCGGCTGCGGGGGGACGGAGCCCATCTGCGCGCCCACTGCTACCGCGCCGTGCTCGAGAGCCTCATCCGCGCCGCCGACCCCGAAAAGAGGCACCTGGGCCTGCAGCCGGGCAGGAAGGCACACACCCTGAGCTTCTCGCAGTGAGTTTGGGCAGGGGGCACATCCTGAGCTTCCCGCAGTGAGTTTGGGCAGGGGGCACTCCCTTCTGCACACCCTGAGCTTCCCGCAGTGAGTTTGGGCAGGGGGCACACCCTGAGCTTCTCCCAATGAGTTTGGGAAGGGGGCACCCTCTTCTGCACCCCCTCAGCTTCCCAAAGTGAGTTTGGGTAGGGTGCACTCCCTTCTGCATGCCCTTGCGGCCCCCCATAAGTTTGGGCAGGGGGCACTCCCTTCTGCACCCCCTCAGCTTCTCCCAGTGAGTTTGGGCAGGGGCACTCCCTTCTGCACCCCGTCAGCTTCCCCCAGTGAGTTGGGGCAGGGAGCACACCCTGAGCTTCCTGCAGTGAGTTTGGGCAGGGGGTACTCTCTTCTGCACCCCCTCAGCTTCCCCCAGTTAGTTTGGGTAGGGTGCACTCCCTTCGCATGCCCTTGCAGCCTCCCATGAGTTTGGGCAGGGGGCACCCAATTTTAGATACCCTTAGGGCCCCCCGCTGAGTTTGGGCAGGGA